TCGACCACATACATCCATTTGCTGTTTGGATTGTAGGTTTCACTGTTTGTTTCTGGCTGTGCTTGTTCTGAACTAACTTGCTGCTGCTCAAGAGCAACACTCAGTGGTAATCTGATTTGACCACTTTTATTACAGTGCTCAGGTATGGCACTCTACCTGTGTTTAGCCTGAGAAATATCTGTTTTTGTCACCACAATTTGTATTGCTATAGAGTAATATTTGGTTCAAGAGCACAAACCTTTGATCATAACCTAAAAAAATGACGAATAAAACAGTTGAAATCACATCTTGATTACTATGTGGCCATAACGTTCCAGAAGCAAGAGCGACTTTCAATATAACTTTTGTTGCAATTTTTATGTAAGAGAATATTTGATAGCCCACAGACATTTCCTTTCAGTTTTAAATCACATTGTTCAGACGTTGGCCAAATCACTCACATCATCAAACCGGAGCTTGGACTACATGACTGCACAACTTGTAGACAGGTTTGGAATGAGCTTTAACAGGCCAGAACATGGCGAGTACATTAAACAGACACTAGTACAAAGCAGGAGCAGCGACAGAAGGAAGAGGGATATCAATCACGTGGCACATCTCACAAGATGCTCAAGTTTGTTGACAGGACAAAAAAACAAACAGCACTTCCTGCAAAGCACATCTGCTGAAACAGCTGTGAAGCAGCTGACAGATGTTTAAAAGGGGTCACAGCATTGTCTCAGGGCCAAGACTCTGACCAAAAACACTTTTGATTCTTTCAATTTACTGATTTTTCCTGAATACACCCCTATATTTTGAAAATGTTTATATGTTTATTTCCATACAAAAGCAGTCGTATCTGGAATATGTTACACAATGTAATTTTTTACAAAACTGACCCATTCTTACAAAAGCAGTGCTTGTTTTCCTCACTGACCAACTTTACTGTTTTAGGTAACTTGAAAAATATCTGGAATTAGCTGCAGAATGTTCCAAATATGTAGGAGAGGAGTAAAAAACAAACAAACAAATAAACAAAAACAACAATTAAAAAAACTCAGAAGAAATAGAATACACAACTAACACTATGTAACAAAAAAAAAAGAGTAAAAGTCGCCTTCTACTTTTCAGTTTTAAATTTTCATTTTAATTTGAAATGTAAAAAAACATGAAAATGATTTTTTTTTTTTTAATCACAGATACGAGGTTTTTGCTGGACAGCGAGGATTTGTAGGCTGCCAACATCTATTTGAAAAACTGTCAGGGTAAAGGATGTTGAAAAAATAACTACTCCTCTTTCTTTACTCTTGTATTTTCCCAGACATGTCAGTCGAAGGTTTTTGATCTATCTGATGGAGTCTCCCAGTATGCGTGGTTCCCCTGTCGTGAAGCTGATCAATCTACCTATGGATATACTACTTACTGGCTGAAGGTAAGAATATTGTCTATTAAAAACAGTTTCATGTTACACCTGAAAAGAAGTATTTTGCTGAGATGTCCCTGCAGTTAATGTGAAACTGCTGTTCTGCTATTTGATAATAATGAATCTTTATATGATTAAGGCACATTCATTAGTTCAAGCATTAAGTAATCGATGTTATGCTTCAGCACGCTATCAGTTAGCTTATTTAATGACTCCCTGTAGTGAAAATCCATTCGTGAACCTTGTTATTATTTGACAAATAACGAGCAATTTTTTTTTTGTTGCTGTTCATGGGATTGTTTTCATTTGGAATAGAACGCAGACAGTGAGGATTTCTTTTGCAATTTGTTGTTATTGGATTTATTATTTATTTAAAGCACCTTTCCCAAGTCCATTACTCTTTTACGCTTTTATAAGAGGTAAGGATCGCAAGTTATTTATCTGCATGTGTGAGACTATCAACATTTTTGCAATAATTTGGGGATTTTAACAAACAATTGTGCACTTTGTGTCAGATATCACGACATGTTTGAACAAGTTGAGGCGATCCAAAGCAATAAATGAGGGAATTCTCTCCTAGAAAGTATTCAAAGTATCATCACTTATTTGCCTTTCATTCATTGCTTTCATAAGCAGCTGTGCAACAACTTTTAAACTAACTTAAAATCATGACTAATGGATGAGCACTTTTGTTGCCTTTACTCCTTTTTTTAAGCTTTTCATAATACATAAAAGCAAAAAGTGAGCAGCCATTCTTATTTTAAACAAACCATGAATAATAATAATAATGGTTTCGTCAGGTTCAGTCTGAATAGATGTCCACATTCAATGAAAGAGAGCTTCTATAAATCTTGTGTTGTAACACTGCCTGGTGGCACTTTTCAAGCTTTCAGTGCTGAGAAGTGATGTGACCTTTGACACCTTGAAGGCCCCCGTGGACGCTCGCCATTAACCCCAGCACGGCCCAATCACTTTTTATTTTACGAGCGCTCGTATTTATGGTTTCCTCGATTTGACGAGACATTTTTACGATCAAATATCAGCAAATTTTAAAGTATGGGAAATTGTTTTCTAAGGAAAATAATGTTAAAAGCTTACTACTACTACTAAAACAAATACAATTAAAGAAATAAAAAAGAGGAAGAAATGTTAACTTTTAGGCTTTTATATGACATATGTACTTGATAGCAGGTGGCAGCCTTTAAAATGAAGCCTATCAATAAATACAATTATATAAAATAGTTTTGATAACCGTCATATAGCTGAATGCAACTGTTTCCTTCCATGCAGGCACACTTCTCTCGACCCATGGTGGCAGCAGCAGTGATCATACACCTGGCTGCAGATGGGACTGGCTTCATTGACCACACACAGTGCAACATCACTGTTCAGTTGGTCGACAGTAAAGAGAGCGTTCACAGTCTGGGTGAGAACTCTTATATGAGGTTTCAAATTGCACTTTATTCACCTTTGGAGTCAGACTGCTAAGCGTGAAAAGATGAACTTGTATATCTTATAGAATAAAACAATGGTCTTTACTGCGTGCTCTTGTCTTGATTAGAGTACTTCTGTTCAGCACCAGCATCCCTGATGTCCTCCTGTTCCCAGGGATGGATTAAATCCTGCCTGTCTTCTTTATTTTGCGTCCACCTCACTTTGTTTTGTCTCTGGCTCTTTGGCTTCCAATATCCTCTCTGCAGGTGAGTGGCGTCTGAGCTGCCGCACTAACCCTTTGGTGATCCCAGTGAGACATGACCTGTCCGTGGCCTTTTACCACACCAAGGCTATCCTGGTCATGTTTGCCTGTCGCCTTGTGGCCATCTCCGGCGTTGGCCTGCGGTCCTTCCAGTCTTTTGACCCCATCACTATAAGTGGTTGCCAGAGTAATGAGATCTACAACCCCACAGGACAAAGGTGAGGATAAGAAACAACAATGATAGTATTAATAGAATGGAACACTGCTGCAGATTCATATAAATGAAATACACACCTATTTCAAAGCACACATGCAAAATTAAATTGTTTTTTTCCAAGTCTTCTTACAGAAATAGAGAACTTTATCAGACTAAAACATTGGTGTTATGGGGATATAATTTATGTTGGAAGTATAATCTAACAGATTGGTAAAAGTTGGTTACCAAAAAAAGCACAAACAACAGAAGATGCTTTCTAACATGCAGCATTCGTTAGTTTTGTGAACCAGAACTAAATCAGTTGGAACAATCAGATGTGATTATGTGCCAGCAAGTTATTGAATGCACTCACGGCTACGGCTATAACTGTAAAACAATTGAGCTTACAAGAATAATGCCACAGAAAATTTACAGTTGCTTTAAACCTGTGGTGTATTTCTGCAAATTCCCAACAATGGAACTGCTGCACTGCCTCCAGCACTAAATCTTGTTTACTGTGGCAGCTTGGTTTGTACTGAGTTTGGCTAAAGTTCACACTGCATAAAAAACAGATTGTTTTCATCTTTTCTTAGAAAAATAACCGTCAAGTGAAGATATTTCTTCTCTCCTTTTTCAGTTCTGACTTGCAGCTCAGTCTTTTGGCTTGTCATTCAGGCATTTTAGTTGATGCTTTATGTAGAAGTACCATAATTCCGATGTTGACATTTTTTTCCTATGTGTTGTAAAAACAATGAAATCATAGCATCTGAAGGGAATAGAAAACAGAGATTATTAACTTTAAAGTAAAACCTTTGGCTGTAAAAGTTTCGAGCATAAGAGAATCAGATATTTTTAAAACGATTTACCAAGCGCTAATTACTAAGTGATCGATGACTAGCTGAAGTGTGCCGAAGAAGCAAAAATTTTTTTTTTTAAAGTTGAAATAAAGGAGAACAGAAGTTAACATTTAGAAAATAGAAACTAACAGGACAAAGCAAACAGAAAAACAAAGGCAGAATAAAAAGAAAAAGCAACAGGAGCTAAAAGGAGCAAAATGAACACCCTCCCCCCAAAAAACAAAACAACAAACAAACAAAACAAAAAAAACAACTGAAAGGAGCAAAACTTTAGCTTAAAATGCAAAGAAGCAGAACTGTAGCTAAATTCACATTAAGGAGCACAACAGTATCAAAAAGTGGCAGACTAAAAGAAGTATAAGAATACCGGTACTATATGTATGTGTATATATATATATATATATATATATATATATATATATATATA